CTGACATCTTTCCCTTCCCCGAGGGAAAGGTGTCCCGTGCGAAATAAATCTGTATCCCACTGAGAATTCCATCTGTGCCTCGGTGCCTTCCTCCATCTGCTCGCTCTCTCCCGCTCTCTACCTATCACCATCCATCTCCCTCAGGTTCCTCCTTCTCCCGTCCCGCCTCCTACTTTCTGTCTCTATGACTTTGCCAATTCCAGGTACCTCAGGGAATCACGCGCTATTTGTCCTTTTTCACCTGACTCATTTTACTTAGCAAGATGTCTTCAAGATTCATTCTTTTTCTTTTTCTTTTCTTTTTTGTCTTTTTGAAACAGGGTCTCCCTGTAGACCCAACTGTCTTAGAATTCACTACATAGACCAGGCTGACCTTGAGTGCTGGGCTTAAAGGTGTACACCACCACACCGGGCTCAGATTCATTCTTGAGGTAGGGCTTTCCTCTTTCCCTTCCTTGAGAGGCTGACTAAGAACATAGTATACTTTGTCCATCCTTTAACAACTGCCTGCATTGCGCCTACCTTTTGAATAAATGTAAACAAGGTTGCTTTGAATGCCGGTATATGGATATGTTTCTGAATCTGTCTGCAATTTTTTCCGGTTACTTTCAGAAGTGGAATTGCTAGATCATATGGTAATACTCTGCTTAATTTGTATTTTATCTGTGTCTGTCTCTCACTTTCTCTTTCCTTTCTTTTAAAAACATTTAAAACAATATTTTATTTACTATTTTTATTTTATATGTATAAGTATAATGCCTGCGTGTAGGTAAGTACACTCATGTCATGCAATGTCCTTGGAGGTCAGAAGAGGGTGTCGGATCCCCTGGAACTGGAGTTACAGACAGTTGTTAACTGCCATGTGGGTGCTGGAATTCAAACCCCGGTCCTCTGCAAGATCAGCCAGGGCTCTTAACTGCTGAGCCATCTCTCCAGCCCTTTAAAACAATTTTTAATCATTCATTTCATTCATTTGATTTGTATCATGACGTGTGCAGGTCAAAGGACAACTTGGGAATCAGTTCTCCCCCTTCTACTGTGTGGATTTTGAGGATCAAACTCAGGTCATCAAGCTTAGCAGCAAGCACCTTTACCCAGTGAACCAGCTCAGCAGCCCAAGTCTTTTTTTCCTTCCTTCCTTCCTTCCTTCCTCCTTCCTTCCTCCTTCTTTCCTTCCTTCCTCCTTCCTTCCTCCTTCCTTCCTCCTTCCTTCCTCTTTCCTTCCTCTTTCCTTCCTCCTTCCTTCCTTCCTCCTTCCTTCCTTCCTCCCTTCATTCCTTCCTCCTTCCTTCCTTCCTCCTTCCTTCCTTCCTCCTTCCTTCCTTCCTCCTTCCTCCTTCCTCCGTCCTGTCTTATCTTCCTTCCCTCTATCCTTCTGCCCCTCCCTCCCTCTTTTTCCCCTCCCTCCCTGCTTTCTTTCTTTTTCTTCCTTCCCTCTCTCCCTCTCCATCTCTTCCTTCTTTCTTTCCTTCCCTCCCTCCTTCCTCTCTTTCCTTCCTCACTCATTCATTCGACTTGATTCCTCCTTCCTTCTTTCCTTCCTCCTTCCTTCCTTCCTTCTTCCTTCCTTCCTTCCTTCCTTCCTTCCTCCTTCCTTCCTTCCTTCTTTCCTCCTTCCTCCCTCCTTCCTCCCTCCCTCCCTCCTTCCTCCTTCTACAGACAGAATCATGGATGCCACCAATTTCGAGCAGCTCCTCCAGGAGAGAATGAATCAAAGTGAACTGGAAGGCTGGGAACCTCAGGGAGGAGTTGTTGCCATGGAATGGAACAAGGGTAAGATCACCATCATTTCTGAGGTGATTTTCCAAAAGGCATTTGAAATATCTCACCAAAAAATATTTGAAGAACGATCTATGTGATTGGTTACGCATAGCAGCTAATGGCAAAGAGAGCTATGAATTACATTACTTCCAGATTAACCAGGATGAAGAGGAGGAGGAGGAAGAGGAGGATTAAAACACATTGATCTGGAATGTTCTGTATGACCCGGGCTCAGTTCTCAGAACCCACCTGGTGGCTAACACCCATTCTTAACTCCTGTTCCAGGGGATCTGACTCCCTCTTATGGCATTGCATGTATCATACACATAAAAAGCAAATAAAATTTTTTTTCAGTTAAAAATAAATAAATAAATAAATAAATAAGAAGAATGCTTGCTGCTCTTCCAGAGGACCTGAGTTTGATTCCTAGCACCCATACCAGACAGCTCAAAACCACCTGGAACTAACTATACCTCTAGGGGCTCTAATGCCCTCTTCTGGCCTTCAAGGACACTGTACACATGTGATACACACTTAAGTGTGATATACACTTAGGCACACATGCACATAAAAACAAAATAAATCTTAGAAAAAAATTGTGATGTACAATTGTCTATACTATGCTCTTGCAATTCTTCTATTTTGGGAAAACTGATGATTCCTGATTTTCGTTTTTCATTAATTGGTTGCTTTTTTCCCTTAGTGTATCAGATCACAAATTTTGTCCATTTTTTCTTTTCATAGTTATTTAATGTGTGAGGGGGACATGGAAACTCACATGCCATGGTGTGCATGTAGAGGTTAGAGGACTGCATGTCTCATTCTTAGCCCTCTACTTTGTTTGAGGCAGGATCTCTCCTGTTGTTTGCAACTGCACTACATATCATAGGCAGGCTGGCCCATGAGCTTCTGGAGAATTCTCCTGT